CCATCCCAAGTCTCTGCAAAGTCTCTGGGCTACAGAACTCAATCCAGGAGTTACCAATCCTGGATAAAACTGTAAAGCCAGTTTTCTTCCCTCAGAACAGATACCTAAGAGCCACACAACCTGCATAAGTGAGAACCCTTATTGACAAATATCCATTCTGACACTTTTATAAGGCACATCACGGTCACACAATATGTTTAAATCACAAGGCAAGAAAAAAAACACATACGTACAAGCCACCATAAACACTACAGCTGCCAGGAGAGAACAACGTAGGCGGCCATTGCTGAGCACTCTAAAATGCTATTATACTAATGATTTGGCTGCAATACTTTCCGAGTCACTGATGTGGACCAGGTATAGAAATAAGAGATTCTTACTTTTCTCTATCTTTTATTTGCCGCATACTTGGCCTAAATTTCTGGCTCAGAAGTATTCCATCCAGTCACAGCCAGGCAACTACTGATTTCCAAAAGAAGCAAACAATGGTGGGCCACAGAAGCTTCTCATGACAGGTGTTCTTTGGAGCAATAAATTCATTTTTTGTTTTAAATACCCTGTGTTCTTAATCTGAAGCCATTCTTTCTCAGAGAGTGAATACAAATTCTCCTGCGCTGCCAGTACCCCTAAAGTGCAGGAGCTCTCTACCATCAGCTATCTCAGTATAGATATCATAAATAGCTGCATCCTCCTCAACTCGGATTCAATGAATCCTTCACATCACTGACCTATCTATAATGTAGTGGGAACAATCTCTGAGAAAGAATATAATAAAAACTGATGCTGCGCTACTCAAAAAATATACCTCAACAAAAAGATTAAATACCCCACAAAGCACTAAATGCAATTAAAAGTGAAAATCACACATAAAAATGTGACAAATAAATACACAAATAAATGTTCATGAACTAAACGATTAAATGAAGTGACCTAAAAATTAGTGACCAATAATTATATATAGAATCATATAAATAAATGTGAATACATATATATTGTGAATAGATATAGAAACATATTATAAACAATTATATATATATTGTGAATAAAGTGCAAAGTCCCAATCAGTGTATAAATCTTCAATAAACTGTGAATCAACCAGTGACCAGTGAAAAAAAATCCTCTTCCAGTTAGTGTGCGTGCTCACCTGCAGCCATGACCCTTACAAATTAAAGAGCTTCAAATACACGCTTCAAATGCATATGCTTAGCGATGGTATCCTTGCTTGTCCCTTCGATACTGTGTCAGGGAAATCCTCTTAAATGGATGAAACACAAGCTATGGCAATGGTCATACGCGCTCCAAATAAATGCACCCAGCAGTAATACCTTGAATGTCCCTCCGTGATGCACCAAAATACTCCTCTCACATGGGCCACACATGGAAGAACAATTCACAAGGGACTTCCCATAGTGCAGTATGTTTTTAAATTTATTCAAATAAAAACGCAGAGGGCTTACTCACATAAAAAACGGGTCCACAGACCCATACAGGCATGTAGAGAAAAATAGCAGAGATGGGTGTACCAATATGGGTATACCAAGATGGGGGCTGCCGTCTGTACCAGAAATGATGTCACCATGCTTCTGTTTGTGTGATTTTCACTTTTAATTGCATTTAGTGCTTTGTGGGGTATTTAATCTTTTTGTTGAGGTATATTTTTTGAGTAGCGCAGCATCAGTTTTTTATTATATTCTTTCTCAGAGATTGTTCCCACTACATTATAGATAGGTCAGTGATGTGAAGGATTCATTGAATCCGAGTTGAGGAGGATGCAGCTATTTATGATATCTATACTGAGATAGCTGATGGTAGAGACGGTGAGGCAAAACGTAATGATACATTGTTGGTGTGATGATGTAGTTGGTATTCTTTCTCTGACAATGAAAAATAACAAAAGATCTAATCATAAGCTATTATAAGGATGAGCTGGTGACATGATTTTAAAATTCTTAGTTTTGATCTAGCCTTGTCCAGAAGTGATGGTGGTCAATGGACAAGCTTCTGTTTCTTGATCACAAGTATAAAGACAAGAGCCAGCTTCTTCTCTGAGGTTAATAATAGCTGCTTACTCTTTGTAGGCTTCTACATATGAGCTCTAAATGTAAACTAAAATCCTGAAGCATACTAACCCTTTGTGGACACTGAGCATGCTAAGCACCACCAAAAAATTCATAGTAGAATACAAGGCGTATATGGCACACCCTGCCCTCTGCCCCACAATCTCTCCCCTTCTCACATTTGCTTGCATTTCCCTGCTGTCAAAATGACAACAGGCAGTTACTGCATAAATACAGCAGTTGGTAAAGATACTGCTTCAAAAAACAGACCTTTTGATGTTTTTAAACATTGTTCAGGCACACATTGGTACTTTCGTATTACATTTTTTTTTTAATTCACCTGCAGTTCAAAGATACATATTTTTTCTGCATATGATGTTTTTTTTAAGGCAACCTGACAAGTTAAAAACAAAAAGTGTTTTTTTTTTAATAAAATGTGCTCCTATGTAACCCTATTAACCTTAAGTTTACACTTAATTAACTCCTTTTCCTTTCTCCCATTAGCTATTATTATCCTGTTGATTTTTTGTTTATTTTTCTTTTTATAGGCATTATTGTTTCAACTTTTTTTTAATATATATTTTTAAATGTTGTGTAGACGGGCCATTGCTGTTTCCCTTTTAAGACTGCATGTTGTAGGGTTTGATTGGCTCAGCTCTCAGCAGTACTGCAGTGTTTGTGAGAGTTGCAGTTTCATCACAGAGGCAGACAATGTAACTTTATACTGCACAGGACTACAGGACCAGGATGCTTTGCAAGGAGGAGGGAGAGAGAGCCACGTGTGCCTTTGCAGAGGACATGTGGGAGCTAGTCTGCAGCCCCTACTGTTGAAGTACACTGACGCTGTTTCCAGAACAGCAGAGGTTGCTAAGGACAATGGTTATCTACAGCAGCTGAAGTCAGCAGCAACTGTGATCATTGGTACCAGTCACCCATGACGGCAGTTACCGACATCTCCTACCACAAAGAGAGAGGTCAGAGTGTTGGAAATCGCAGAGGAGGCTTGTGACCATCCCAGGTGAGGCACCTCAGAGATTGTGCAGCACCGACAATGGACAACAGGAAAAAAAGTAGCCAGAGAGACAAAGCCTTATTCATCATCCTTTCAAGGAGTTAACCCCTGGAGACTGTTCTTCTTGGATGTGGTGAGCAACTGCTAACCAGTGACATGTCAGTCCTTAAGAGCGCTCCACCTATTCACTAGCTCAGGCCTGTGCAACACATAGACTCACACAGTGTTACAATCCCACAGTAAATAAATGAATTTGGGACTGAGCCTAAAGAGATGTCAGTTAGCTGGGGACATATTGCTGCTATAGTTGCAGGGGGTAATACTGATCTATAGCTATACCGGTATATACATGAATATTGTGTTTATTGATGTTATTGTGCCAATTCTAGAAGGTTTATGCATCAGTACATTTAACTGCTATTTTCCAAGTTCATTTGCAGTCTATTAGCAGAGTTTTACCTGTCTTATTAAACCTGTTATAAAACTTCCCACAAGGTGTACTGGTGTGCTGTGGATCCAATATACATATGGTTCATCACTGAAGTAAGGACAGAAATACCCGTTAATTTCAGTGGCTCCTTTGGGGGTGAGCGCTACAGTAGCATTAAAAAATACAAAACTGAAAAGAAAAAAACTGTTTTCAAATTTCGTTTGTAAACAGCTTTGCATTGTTTTTGTACCAGGTTCATAATTTTAGTGCCATTCAAAACAGGAAAAGTTATACAAAAAAATGTATACTTTTTATCTACAGCAACATTTTTTAATTACACAGATCAAAGTAGAAAAATGTGCATTTTTTAGGTTTTTTTTGTTACATTTCTGTCTATGGATTGCATAAAAAAAAATTATATTACCAAATGAAAGCCTTGTTCTTCTTAAAACAAATGTTGTATATATTACTTTGCTATTGTGAAGTCCAACTCCACTTGTGTAAAGAAATCCTCTCTGGGTGATCTGTGTGTATTGCAGATTTTAACTAACTTTGTTGCATATTCCTCCCTTTTAGCGTTTTGTAGAAAAAGCTGTTTGTTTCACCAAGCCCTTTCAGACTGATTATGAACAGAAAAATCAGCACTCATTATAATCACCTGGTGTATGCTCAGTGTTATGAGGAAAGTTGCAGTGTCTGTATCTCTTTAAAGTAGTTAACCTTTGGGGACTATTTACCCAAAAATGTAATTTCTTTTGCAGAAGATGCCTATACTTTGACTTTTGAGAAAACCAGTGAACCAATCACACAAACACCAAATTACATTTCTGGCGGCTTTCCATATATCATTGGTGCACAGAATGCCTCCAGGGAGCCATTTGAATAAGGGCAGCCGTTCGGCTACTCTCCTCCTAAGGGGTTTTACACATGGACACACCCTGCATATCCGTCCCCCTCTGGGGCAGTGGAGGGGCGGGGCCATAGTCCACATCCTCATTGTGGGGAACAGCAAGTGGGTTCAAAGAAGAGAGCACAGGCGATAGAGTGTATGGAGCAGCAGCCTGCCTTGTGGGCAGGTTAGTGATCGCCAGCAGTTTAGTGTGTGCTTTATTCTATAATAGGCTCAGTGTGACAGTGACTGCTCATGCACAAGGTGCTATAAACCAGGGGCGGACTGACCATTTGTCACACGGGGTCAGTAGGGGTTCCCATGAGGTGCCCCTGGTACCTTTTTCATAGGCTTTTTTGAGTTTGGGCAAGGACACAGGGGCCCCATGATCCCCTATTGCCTGGGGGCCCCATGAGTTGTCAGTCCACCCCTGCTATAAACTATATATAACACTGATCTCTATACACTGAGGGTTATTAAAAGAGATGAGCGAAGTATTCAAAAATTCGATTCGACTGATTCGGCGAATTCGTGGAAAAATTTTGATTCGAGTCGAATATATTCGCTGCGAATTTAACTTATAAAAGGGTGTTTCTAAGCTTCAGAGAGCCTTTATATTAGTGCAGAACACTGTACCTTTAATTTAAATGCCCTTGGAGTCTGCTGGGGAAGAGAAATAATACTGACAGTCAGTATGACATGCAGATGAGTGCCGTCGATCTTAGAATCACCGCACACTTCACTCATTTGGGCAGTCACGGGGCCAAAACCAGAGTGTGGAGCCACAGTGTGGCGGTGGAGGCAGCAGCAATGGGAGGCCATACAGCACCCTATGACAAAAATGGAAACCACCAGCAGTGTGAGGAGACCTGAAAGTGGCACATGGCAGAGTGTGGCGATGGAGACAGCAGCAATGGGAGGCCGTACAGGGACCCATGACACACTCTGGACCTGGCAGCAGCATGAGGAGGCGGTACAGGGGCCCATGACAGATTACGGGCCTGGCAGCAGCATGAGGAGTTGGTATGGGGGCCCATGGCAGATTACGGGCCTGGCAGCAGCAATGGGAGGCCGTACAGGGACCCATGACACACTCTGGACCTGGCAGCCGCATGAGGAGGCGGTACAGGGGCCCATGACAGATTACGGGCCTGGCAGCAGCATGAGGAGTCGGTACGGGGGCCCATGACACACTCTGGACCTGGCAGCAGCATGAGGAGGCGGTACAGGGGCGCATGACAGATTACGAGCCTGGCAGCAGCAACTTGGACAGGAGGACGTTCAGCTTCTGCACCGTCGGGTGCGTGCTCGCAAACTGTTGTCTCTTGGAAACGGATTCCAAGAAAGACTGCTGACGGAATCCGTGAAGAGGAGTAGCAGGAGAAGGAGCATCTGAACGAGCGGAATATGCCAACAAGTGACAACAGGGGCCCATATCAGATTACGGGCCTGGCAGCAGCATGAGGAGTCGGTACGGGGGCCCATGGCAGATTAGGGGCCTGGCAGCAGCTATGGGAGGCCCGTAATCTGCCAGCACCCTATGACAAAAAATGGAACACACCAGCAGTGTGAGGAGACCTGAAAGTGGCACATGGCAGAGTGTGGTGATGGAGACAGCAGCAATGGGAGGCCGTACAGGGACCCATGAGAGACTGTGGACCTGGTAGCAGCAGTATGAGGAGGCGGTACTAGGGCCCATGGCAAGAAGAAGAAGAAGAAGATGAGGATGAGGAAGAAGTAGAAGTAGGATGAGGATGAAGAAGAAGAAGAAGTAGGATGAGGATGAAGAAGAAGTAGGATGAAGGATGAAGAAGAAGAAGAAGTAGGATGAAGAAGAAGAAGAAGAAGTAGGATGAAGAAGAAGAAGAAGAAGAAGAAGAAGAAGTAGGATGAAGAAGAGAAGAAGAAGAAGAAGAAGAAGGATGAAGAGGATGAAGAAGAAGAAGTAGGATGAAGAAGAAAAGAAGAAGAAGAAGTAGGATGAGGAAGGAAGAAGAAGAAGGAAGAAGAAGAAGAAGAAGGAAGAAGTAGAAGTAGAAGAAGAAGAAGTAGGATGAGGATGAGGATGAAGAAGAAGAAGAAGTAGGATGAGGATGAAGAAGAAGATGAGAAGAAGAAGTAGGATGAGGATGAAGAAGAAGAAGAAGAAGAAGTAGGATGAGGATGAAGAAGAAGAAGAAGAAGTAGGATGAGGATGAAGAAGAAGAAGAAGTAGGATGAGGATGAAGAAGAAGTAGGATGAGGATGAAGAAGAGGAAGAAGAAGAAGAAGTAGGATGAGGATGAAGAAGAAGAAGAAGAAGAAGAAGTAGGATGAGGATGAAGAAGAAGAAGAAGAAGTAGGATGAGGATGAAGAAGAAGAAGAAGTAGGATGAGGATGAAGAAGAAGAATAAGTAGGATGAGGATGAAGAAGAAGAAGAAGAGTAGGATGAGGATGAAGAAGAAAAAGAAGAAGAAGAAGAGAGAAGAAGGTAGAAGAAGGAGAAGAAGAAGTAGGATGAGGATGAAGAAGAAGAAGAAGTAGGATGAGGATGAAGAAGAAGAAGAAGAAGAAGTAGGATGAGGATGAAGAAGCAGAAGAAGAAGAAGAAGTAGGATGAGGATGAAGAAGCAGAAGAAGCAGAAGAAGAAGAAGAAGAAGTAGGATGAGGATGAAGAAGAAGAAGAAGAAGAAGTAGGATGAGGATGAAGAAGAAGAAGAAGAAGAAGTAGGATGAGGATGAAGAAGAGAAGTAGAAGAAGGAAGAAGAGGGATGAAGATGAAGAAGAAGAAGAAGAAGTAGGATGAGGATGAAGAAGAAGAAGAAGAAGAAGAAGTAGGATGAGGATGAAGGAGAAGAAGAAGAAGAATAGGATGAAGAAGAAGTAGGATGAAGAAGAAGTAGGATGAAGAAGAAGTAGGAAGAAGAAGAAGAAGAAGTAGGATGAGGATGAAGAAGAAGAAGAAGTAGGATGAGGATGAAGAAGAAGAAGAAGAAGAAGTAGGATGAGGATGAAGAAGAAGAAGAAGAAGAAGAAGTAGGATGAGGATGAAGAAGAAGAAGTAGGATGAGGATGAAGAAGAAGAAGAAGTAGGATGAAGAAGAAGTAGGATGAAGAAGAAGTAGGATGAAGAAGAAGAAGCAGAAGAAGAAGAAGAAGAAGTAGGATGAGGATGAAGAAGAAGAAGAAGTAGGATGAGGATGAAGAAGAAGAAGAAGAAGTAGGATGAGATGAAGAGAAGAAGAAGAAGTAGGATGAGGATGAAGAAGAAGAAGAAGAAGTAGGATGAGGATGAAGAAGAAGAAGAAGAGTAGGATGAGGATGAAGAAGAAGAAGGGAAGAAGAAGAAGTAGGATGAGGATGAAGAGAGAAGAAGAAGAAGTGGATGAGGATGAAGAAGAAGAAGAGAAGTAGGATGAGGATGAAGAAGAAAGAAGGAGGAGGATGAGAAGAAGAAGAAGAAGAAGAAGAGAAGAGGAGAGATGAAGAAGAAGAAGAAGTAGGATGAGGATGAAGAAGAAGAAGAAGAGGAAGAAAAAGAAGTAGGATGAGGATGAAGAAGAAGAATTAGGATGAGGATGAAGAAGAAGAAGAATGACAGTTCCTTCACATTTACAGCGGTTGAAACATTGTATCTATTTGTTTCCGAATAAAAACATCTGTATCCTAAATGGAAACAAATAGATACAATGTTTTCAACTGCTGTAAATGTGAAGGAACTGTCAGAGAACTGTCAGAAATAGCGGAGCTCTCTGCAGGGACACTTTTTGCCGGCTGTAGAAGGGATGAAAATCGGCCGTCCGATCGGGGAAAATTCAATTCGCGCATCCGAAGTTTGCTAATATTCGGATTCGACGCGAATCAAATTTTTCCTAATATTCGAAACGAATTCCACTTCGCCAGGTTCGATTTGCTTATCTCTAATCAGAGCACATCAGTGAAGAAGAATAATTACTGATTTGCAAAATGTTATACCAGAAACTAAGAAAAATATTTTTTTTTCAAAATGTTCGGTCTTTTTTCATTTGTTTAGCAAAAAAAAAAAAAAAAAAAAACCAGTGGTGATTATATACTACCAAAAGAAAGCTCTATCTGTGTCAAAAATGCTAAAATGTAATATGTGGTACAATGTTGTATGAGCACGCAATTGTCATTCAAAGTGCAAGAGCGCCGAACGCTGGGAAACTGGCCTGGGCAGGAAGGTGGTGAAAGTTCTCAGTAATGAAGTGATTAAAAAGAAACAAAATTGAATTATGACAACTACACACTCAACTCGCCCTATACAGAGATTTCCCTGCTCTGGGTCAACAATCTATGCACTGGCAGACTGAAAATAATTATCACTGGGGGCAGGTTAACTGAACAGGTAACTCTTTACACACACCCACACACACAATAGCCACCATTACTTGTTTTAAAAGAAAACACACACCGTTTTGCAGCATCTGCTGTGGAAATTCTGACCTTAAAAAAAATGTCTGTATCTGTCAAGGTCCTACCTTTTCCCAGAGGTTATGTTACTCCATGTGCTGGCATCCATCTTGGATTTATGCTGAGCATGGTGGGAGGCTTTTATGCCTTCAGGTCTCTGAGGTCCATCCCCCAGAGGGGTGTGGCTGAGTACATATAAGCCTGTGATCCGCACATGCTCTTTGCACTTGTGTCTTGTGTCTTGGTCTTGCTACAGCTCTGTGTATATGCTCGTGACTCTTCTGGTATTTGACTCGGCTTGTGACTAGACCATTCTCTGTGTTTTCCTTCGATCTGACCTTCTGTTGCTGAACCGGCCCGTGACCTGTGATTCTCTGTCTACTGTTCTGTACTGTTTTGTCCCGTTGTTGTTTGACCCATGCTTGCCTGACTACGCTATTGTCATTCTCACCAGCTACACGCCATTGGCGGCGGCCATTACCGCAGCCGGGGTGTCTCGGGGGCCGCGACCTGGTTCCTGGCTGCGTCAAGTCCATCCCCACCACCAGGGGCCCTGGTGAAGGGCAGCCTGGGACATAGACTCCACGCCCTGAGGGACTTCGGTCTGTTGGTGGTGGTTGTTGTCAGCCAGTGCGTTACCCTGCCACTAGGCCTACCTGTCCGTTCCACAGCCCTGCCCTGACATTACACAAGTGCCATGAATCCTGACGGTGCAGGTACGCCTTCACTTCCAATGTTGGTCGCCAGACTGGATCAACAGGATCTCCTGTTGGATCAGTTCGCTCAGGCGTTGCAAACTCTGTTGGCACGCACCGCGCACCTTACTCCTGGTGTTATTAGGCCGGTTGTCACTCCGGTGGTCGCTCCCGCTGCTGTTCCGCTGGTTGCGCCTACCGCCGCGGCTGCTGCGGTACCCGCGGCGCCCAGAGGTATGACTGGTTCAGCCCCTCTTCCACAGAGCTTTGGGGGTGAGCCAAGTCAGTGTCATGGCTTCCTCAACCAGGTGGGGATTTACTTCGAATTAATACCCCACGCTTTTTCCGACTGAGAGGTCAAAGGTGGGTTTCCTATTATCGCTACTCTCAGACAAGCCTTGGCCTGGGCGAATCCCTTATGGGAGAGGAATGACCCAGTGATTCACGAGTTTTCCGGTTTTGTCGATGCCTTCCGTAGGGTATTCGACGTACCGGCTCGCTCCGCCTCGGCTGCCAAGCTGCTCATGTCTATGTATCAGGGTTCACGGACCGTTGCCGAGTACGCCATAGAGTTTCGTACCCTGGCGGGGGTGGGGGGCGGCAGAGGTGGGTTGGAACAATGAGGCTCTGGTGGCTGCGTTTTCTCAGGGTCTTTCTGATGCATTGAAGGACGAGATCGCAGCCAAGGAATTGCCTGTGGAGCTGGAAGCACTAATTTCCTTCCTGATCCTGATTGATACCAGGCTCAGGGAGAGGCCTTCACTCAAGGAACGCCTGTGGAGGCCTTCCAATCGACTGGCACCTGCGTTTTCTGTCCTACCCATTCCTCCCTCTCCTCCCACGCCTCCTGGGGATAGCTTGTCTGGTGGTGAGCCCATGCAGCTGGGGTTTGCTCGCCTTTCCGAGGGAGAGCGCGGCCGCTCGGCCTCGGGAGGGTCGCTGCCTGTACTGTGGTCTTGGTGGGCACTTTCGGCGGTCCTGTCCGGTCCGTCCGGGAAACGCTCGCACCTGAGATCCTGTCGGGGACA